GCTGCCTCCCTCCGGCCCAGGTGCGACGGAACCTCTCGGTGTCTCTCCCCAGATGTGCGACAAGTTTACCGTCTGCGAGAACAGCATGGAAGTGCTCGTCCGGAACAACCTCAACCTCCCCAAGGTGACGGAGGAAGACGGGTGCCTGCTCGCCGGCTTCGATGAGGCAAGGAAACGCTCTCCCTTCTGCCCTCACCCTGACCACCTGGGGCGAGCTGCGCCTGCTCCAGGGAAACGAAGAGGTTGACCTAAAGATCTCTGCCGGCTCCAGCCGGCTTCGGGGTGCCACCCGCCTCCGTTCCCCGCATAAGCATCACCCGCTCCGTACGCCAAATGCTGCCATCGAGGCCGTTCTGAGCTGTGAGTGACTTTCACCTTTCTCTCATTTCAGGATAAATGCTTGAGGAAAATCTCCAGCGGGCTCTACACGTTTCAGACGTACCTTGAATACATACAAGAAACTTTCACTAGCGAAAAGCAGAACATCGAATCGCTGTGCTACAGCACAGAGCACCTGGCACGTACCATAAGGCAGATGGTGAGTTGGTTTTACATTCGCTCCGATAACTTATGGCTTAGCGCTGATGTGTACTCGGAGAAGGAGGATGCGATGGGAAGCTGAACTTTTCCGGCTTGCATCTCCCTCAGTGCAAACGGGTGAAGGCTCCTTATGACTGACTAACAGGTTTTACAAGGTTTTGTTTTCTTAAAGAAACAACTCCTCTTCCGACTTTCTATTGCTGTTTCTAATTTGCAAACCAACAGTGAAACGCATCGTATTGTCTTAAGAACAAATACACCACTGCTGCCTGGCTGGCAGAAGTTAACCTGTCTCAGGGAGCTTGATCCTAGTTGTGGAACTGCAGTTCAGTCCAAGCCCTCCAAAGTTAAACCCCCTGAGAAGTAGAAATTAGTAACTTTAAAAAAAACCCACATAAATAAAAGCAAATGCATTTTTTACAGTATTATTGATCTTTAAAACTCTCCAAGATAAACTTTTGGGCCAAGCTGTAAGGTACACTGAGATATCAGTATCTTAAAAATCAAGGAGGACAGTTAAATTCAGGCTGTAAGCGAACAGCTTGACTAAATACTAGGTGCTGCCTGTTGAAAAGCACAGATTTTGCCTGTAATCATCATGGGGGGGGAGGAAAAAATCTTCCCTCTTTACAAATACTCAATTCTCTTTTGATGTGGTAAATTAAACACTTAATTTCTGACAGTCGTTTTCCGTGTTTTGGAGGGCTTTCAAAAATTCACTTAATTCCTGCAGTTCTTACTCATATTAACAAGCCTTAACACGACTACTTCCTTTGTCATCAGGGAAGCTATTTGCCCAAGTGAGAACCACACAGAGTGAGTAAGAACTGCAGAAATCTCAGGGCACTATTTGCTTCAAGGTGTTTTTTGGAGTCTGAAACCCCATTGTGTGTTTGCTGTACCGTTCCTGACATGTTTATTTATGTCTATCATTCTATTAAGTGGAAGGGAGTTGAACTGCTTTTTTCACACAGTGCTAGCTAAGAATAATGGTCCTGTCAGAAGACAATAACTGACTGTTTGCTTCCAACTTGATGTATTAGTTCGCAGAAAGTTCATTTCATAACCAGGGGAGACTAGCTTTTTTTTTTTTTTTTTAAATCATAGAATAGAGGTAACTGTAACAGGCAAAATTAAACAATGATCAAAAGCCAAACCTGTACTTGTAGAAACTAGAGTTTTTGAGAAAGAGAGGGGAGTCCTGATCTCCAGGTTGGACATTTTTCTTTACGAGACGTCTATCTGCTATTTAAGGCAAGGAAAGCAAGGACAGCCACTGTCACTTGTGGTCAGGTGGATCCATCACCACAATACCTCTCTGGATATCCAGATACAAACCTTTTCAGCACACAAGGAGCTGGACATACCAGTAACTGGGTATGCATTCAGAACCCACTGCCAGGTAGTCTGGACAGAAAGAATATTCCTTTCTTACTGAATTTCACATAAACTGCATTCCAGAAGGAGATGCACATGCTTTTGTCACTTGTTAAGAGGGTAGGAGCAATCCTAAACTCAGGATGAAGCAGATACTTGACTGTTAGACTTCTAGACCCCAAATCATCTAAAGCAGCTCCATGATTTGAGTGAGCAACTCCCGTTTTCAGAAGTCACCTACCCGCTTCACAGGACAAGTTCTTAAAAGGCATTTGGGTGCCGGGTGCTCAGCGCTGTCAGTCAGCATTAGGTACGTACCTCCTTTTACTCATCTTGCTGTTAGGAGCTCACACATCAGGGAAAGCTGGTGACAGTCTCCCACGTGCCTAAATGCCGGGAAAGTAAGAATCAAGCAGCTAAACAAGTTTGACATCTTTGGAAACTGTTAATCTACTACAAAATGTGAGAGTACTCCAATGTCATCTAATTATTTATGACTCAGGATGTAGCAGCCAGTACAGGCTAGGACAAATCAGGTTCTGCATCTTCCCACCTAACCAGACGGTCAGCAGAGAGCAGGAGAGGTGTATTGTTCTGCTGGACCAGAAAAAAATAGTACAGATCAGACGAGACCCTTTGATTCTCCTGCAGTAATTGCAGCAGTACAATGTTTTAACCAGGGCACCTCAATATTGTCTTTTTCACAGGTGATAAACCCCAATGAAGTCGTCATCCCCGACTCAGCTACCCAGAAATCCCTCCGCGCAAAGCTGCGGTCTGATAAGACCTGGATAGAGAAAATCACCACCCACCTCATCCTCCGAGACTTTACTTCGTTTATGGAGAAAACCGTGAGGGCTGTTCGCTATTTGAAAAACACCAGGAGTTTCAGTGTCTGAATGTTTTAATTCAGGCACAATCCTTTGTTACAGATCTGTCATGTGGCAGATGACAGTGTTGTTCTGTTTTAAGAACCAGAAATAGTAACAATGGTTTGCATTTATACATATTCTCATTTCCTTCTAGGAACCTATTTATTGTATTTAAAATATTTATTAGTTTCTAATGTTTCCTATTTATATTTTCAATATTTACAAATAATTTAAACAAAGGACCTATTTTATTTCTTTTCTAATGGTACTATTCAGAATATCAACTTATTTAATATGTATTCAACAACAACAATATTTTCAGAAGCCAGAAAAAGTGTTGTATAACTTATGCTTTTAAAATATTTGAGAGATGGTATTTTGTGACTTATTTATGTTTTTAGAACAAATAAAAGCTGATTTGGGAAAAAAAAATGTTTAACCTGTTTGAACTTTAAATAAGACTAAGGAACTCTAATGTATCCAGTTTTCAATACCAGCAATTATCAAAATAACCACTTAAAAGAATTTAAATTTTATCTGTACAATTAGATCAGTTATCGACGTAGCGCATACATACACACAGCTTGATCAACATATACTTCTTGAAATGGGATATAAAGGAACTAGTTGCACTGAACGTGGCACTTCAGAATGAACACAATAAAGCATCTTTCCTCTTGAGAAACAAATGAACGAGTTCATAAAATTGTAACAGTTTTTAAGTCACGCAATCTCTTTTAAATGAATACAATTGTAAGGTACCAAATTAACATGAGTACCGCTATCTGATTAGACTTATTGCTGTCGTCCAAGGAGATTTTCCAAGTCTGATTAAACATATCTCCCAACTCCCCCAAGAAGCAGGAAAAAAACCCGAACCCTTGGGTTCTTTCCTTAGGTGACATAAGTCAGCATATTGCTGCTGAGATGTCAACGACTGTCGACAATCTAACGCATTTGTCTTTTGTCATTTACAACCCACTAGGATGGGTGATATATATATGGTTATATAGTGTCATCAGTATTCTCAGCAAAAGTCCAAAACATAGTCTTACACCAGCTACTGTGAAGAAAATTATCTCCATGCCAACTGAAACCAGCACAACAAGCCACCTAATGTGATGGTAAATTCTCAAATATTGTACAGGGGAGAAAAAGAACATGTCCTTAGCTGGAGTACCAAACCACTAAAAGGGTCCTTAGCTGTACCGTCTGCTTCACTGTGGCTGTGCAGGTACTTCATCTACTCAGAGCCAGAGGAATTCACAGCACACACAAGGGATGCAAGCGGCAGGAGCCCCTCGAGCTTCGTCCCTACAAGCGCTGGAACATTAATTACCCTCTCTCTCTCACACAGCATGGTGGCGGAGATGAAAGCAAGACCTGGAATGTGCATAAGGATGTCAGTAAATTCTCCTCTTCCTCTGAGCAATCTGATCAACCACACACACATTCTAACGTTGGGGATGCCAAAACAGTGACCAGTCCACGGAGAGTCCCCATCTCAGAGGCTCAAACCAAACCAAGCCACAGCTTTGCCCAATAAGGTAAAACCAACGTCTTGAGTTGTGCAATGACTTGAGAAGGAATGAGGCGACCTCAAGGTGGTCACTTTGAAGCTGCCTGTGGTGAATGAGGTTTTCTCATGACACACAAGATCCTGCTTTAGCTGTCCCGACGTGCTTTACAAGACACAGGAGAGCCTGGTCTGACTTCTTCACAGAGATTTTCTTACTGACCGTTTGGCTAGAGACCGTTCTGGCCCTTATTATGTCCGTAATAGCTACGAAACCTAAATGTGGATCCTGCATTGGATCTTTTAAAGACTTTATTATTACTATGAGAGAACAGGAGGGAAAAATAATAAGAAAGACAGACCAAAAAGAAAGGCATCTCCTGGTCTCACCCCTCCCAGTAGTGGGTGGTAGCCTGAGGTCGCCATCAGTTGCTATGTACATTGCAGCTAAACAAACTAACGCTCATTTCCTCCTTGAATCCCAAGGGGCACCTAAGATGATTTCAGGGTACTGAAATCTTGCAGAAGTGATAGATAAGCATCCGCACTTTCCACCAACACCCTTTAGCTGGTGGCCACCACTACTAGAAGGTTCCACCATTCAAGTAAAACCTCATGCTACTATATCTTAGGATGAACAAAGACCACTGCTCGCTGGGAGGGGAGGTCAAGCTCAAGTCCGTCCTGGGGTGATGGGTATCGCCAATACTGCTCCTGAGCTGCCATTATTTTACCTGTGGCACCTCCACAGCCACCCACAGTTCTCAGGGTACTTCAATACAGCAGCTGCCTTGATGGCCATCATTTTGCTGTCACTGTGCCAGCTTCAGGGACTGTCCCCAGGATAAGCACCACTTGCTGAATCTACACTCACTGGGGTCTGTGGCACATGAAGACTCACAGCTGTCTTGGAAGTCAGAGGAGCACCCTTGAGCCTCTCAAACCAATCAACAAGTTTATTGTTCTTTTTCCAGTCTGCTGTGTAAAATGTGTTTTACAACAAACGCACATTGACATATATTTTAGCTGGCAGACCAGCACACACATTAAAAAAACAGAGCAATAGTAAAAATGAGCATTCCTAACTCTTATAAATCAATCTGCAAAAATAACTGTGCTACTTTCAGCAACAGTGAAATACCTCAATGCTTCTATTGTGGAGAGCTCCTCCTAACTGACAGCTAACTCACCAAGCAAGGCAAAAAAACTCCAACCCAAACCCAAAAAGACCTGCTAATAATTGCCTATAAAATTATAGGAAACTGTCCAGTCAAGAAGCATTTTGGCTGATGGTGTACAGGACCAGCCTCTCCACACAGATCCCAGCTAGACCTTCCCCATGCTCCCATTGCATCGCTACCTATTAACTTCACACAGATATTACAGAATACTCAACAGATTACTAACCCTTTTTATCCTGAATTTGCTTTCTCAGCGCATGAAGAGAGTAAAGCTATGTTAAAAAGCAGGCATACACTCTACAGTGTGCAAGAAAAAACCCACGGTATTGAGATAGTGTTAAAGATGAGAAACAAATATTCCTTGATGCTGTGGACATGACACAAAAATGCTAGACAAGGAAGAAAAGAAATTAAAGACAGAATGCAACCTAATACTGCAGTAATCTGTAATGGAGAAATGCAGAATTATTTTGTTTTGCAATGACAGTCTCTGAAGTATCATTTTTCTATTTCTTTTTCATCAGATATGTAAGAAACTAAAAAGAAAAAAAAAACCCCAAACACAAAAAACCAAAACAAAACAAAGAAGCCAAACATAAAACCAACACCAAAAACCCCCTAAAAAAACCCCAACACATGAAAAAGGAAACATGTAAGGCTGACCCATTTCCCAGGTTGCAGTACCAACCCTTCCCAGTAAGCCTATGTAAACACTAAATCTTGGCTACTTGAAAGAGACTGTCTCCCTCTCTAGTCCCTCACAGATTTTGTTAATGGCTGATGACAAGGGAGGTTAGCAAGACAGAGCTGATGCTACACGAGACAGAAGAGTTATGCTACCAGCGAATCAAGGCGAGCAGGATCACTTTTCAGCAGTAATGAGCCATTAGGTTGGCTTAGCTCAATGGGAAACTCCCCCCACACCGCCCCATTTGTCACTGTTACTTGTGGCAAATAATCTTTTCCGCATTCAATCTGAAAGATAAAACAGAGGAAAGGTAAGTATACATCCAAGTCAGATACTAATGGTCAAGAAGTGCTGCCAAAAATACGTATTTTACTACAAACCTTGTGATATTGGGTGGGAAGCTTTCTGTAAACCCTTGCTTCTAGAGTCAAATGATTAGAAGATAACAGTTTCAGATATCTCAGTGAATTTCTTTTTTTGTCTTGATAAGAAGAAAACCAAACCCCACCCTCTCACCCCCAGAAAATGCAACCTCTGAAATACCCTTTCCTCCCTGAACTCTTAACAAAATGACCCGATTTCTGTAATCTAAACATATTTAACCAAATCTCTGTATAGTTTCAAGCCTGACTTTGGCAGTCATCCGAAAACACACTAATACAGCAATTATGCAATCTAAATTTCCATTGAGTGACCAGAATCTAAGAAGATTCAATCTTTCAGGAGCAAATCTATTTTTAAAAAGTTAAACTTCAGATTCAGAAAACTGAGATGTGATTTGGCCTGCCACACTTATTTCTACCAGACTTAGCTTACCTAACACAGCACTTTCAATTTTCTTCCTTTTCAACTGCACCAAGAGCAAAATTCTGACAGGTTCCAACAGCAGCAAATGTATTTATGGTTAGTTATTTCTTTACCCCTTTAAATTAACTTATTAATAGATACAGTTCTACATTCTGTACCATGTAAATAGGGGCAATGTGATGTATAAGCAAATTATATTAACACTTATGCCAAAAAATCACTTAAAAAGTAAAATCCCCTATGAAAAGCTCAAAGTCCCATCCTCAGCTCAAAAGAGGAAAAACTACCACCATGTCATCACTACTGCACAGCAATAGTCTTTGTCTCCTCTTCCACTTCTAACAACCTGGGAAGAGATGGAAAAGGGACCACATACTGACTGTGCCTGCGAATCCCACATTAGCATGCGTTAACAAATACAGTGAAGTTCAAAGACATCCCTCAAAGTGCAAGAGCTATACCGCTTCCATACAGCTCAGTGGCCTGGGGAGGGACTATAAAAGAAAATGGATTTTGTTAGAAGAGACACTATTTGGGATGAAGGCTGATGTAAGGCAGTCTGCCAGTCTGGCTGGAAATTGACTACTTTCAGGTTGCACTGGCACAAATTGCACCACTTGGAAGGTCTCTACCAGAATAAAGTGGACCCTAAGAAACAGAACTGGAACATAACTAGAAATCTGGCCTTATCTCACTTCCCAGGCTAACTGCTCCGTGCTTTGGCAGTTGCTCAAACTTCTTATTTTTCATAGAAACTTGGAACCAATTTCTTAATCAGAAGAAATAATTAGAAATAATTCCACTTAGCAGAGAAGCATCTCCTCTGTCTTACCCATCCCCTAATCCTTAATTGACATAAGCA